TATAGTCATAAAGACGTTACAAAATAATTGATTGCTGACTGATGAACTTGACAGCGAACATGGAATCTTACTGCTTCCTTCCGGTGTTAGATAGCTCAGCACGGGGAAAAGTACTTCAAAGATTTGTAGAACTTCTTTCGTCAATAAAGCATTTTTGGAATCCGGAAACAAAAGTTATAAAGAATTGGACGATCATAATTGGTTATCCGATCTGTGTTTTCTCACGGATATAACAGCTAAACTGAAAAAACTGAAAGAAGATCTCCAGGGGGAGAAAAACCTTTTTCAATTGACCGGGACTGTAACTGCTTTTCAGATAAAGTTAAATTTGTGGATAAATCAGATGAAAGAAAGAATTTCAACCATTTTCAGAATTTATCAAGCGATATCTATAACCACAAGGCAATTGAAACAGAGAAATACTCGGAAAACCTAAATCCACTGAAAAATAATTTTGACTCTGCTTCTCTGATTTCCATAAAGTTCAACCAATATTATTATTCATCTCAAACCCATTTGCTGAAATTAATATTTCAGATGTATCACATAAGATTGGAAATATGTTTATCAAAAATGCCGATGTTTTGGAAATGTGTTCGCGATAGGCCTAAGGTTGGATACCACTGGATAAAAAACGCATTTTATTCACCACCTTCATAGTGTAAAATAATGATCAGTGACGATCCTAGCAAGGCACAATACAGTGCACAGCATGCAAGTGGCCAAACTTAAGGGCGGCGAAATAAATTATCAAACATATTATATTTTTGTATAAAAAGGGCGACCAATTTTAATTTACATGTGGGCGGCCGACAATCTAGGATCAACACTGATAATGCTTATTACAAAATGCTACTTCATACAGATAAAATAATGTTTTAAATGTGCTCCAGAGTTAATATTACCAAAGATTCTTCAATGCTTTGCATGCTATTTTAAATTCAATTAGAAGTTATTGCTAAGAGATTAGACAGCGACCACTTTTAATAATATCCCCCATGCTGTCCTCTAGTCATTGAGACAACAAAAATAAAAACCGCTCAAAAGTGATAGTTTGAATTAATTAAATATCAGCAAACGGGTTGGTTAAACAGGCGTTTCTGTTGTTTTCTCCATACGTAACATAAATACAAGCCAATTTTCTTTAGAAAGTCCTTCGTGAAGCGTGAAGGCATACCTTCCCTAATGCAGTATTCAATCCAGTTGCATTTGATCATTACCAAATTCTTGAGGAGTCATTTACCTCTGTTATATTTTAAGTATATGGTCTGATTTAATTCTGCATTTTAGTTTATTTAGGTTTATTTGATTATGGGAAACACGCTTGGGCTATCTGCCTAAAGGGAGGGATGCCTTCATAGAGGCCTTTCTAAGGAGACTTGGCTCGCGCATAAGCCACACACGGGGACACGACCAAAATGCAGCCAGCTCGTATCCAACTCAGGTCGAATTGCCAGCGTTCAGGAACTTAACTATGAGCTCTGCATTATGGAGTTTATACTGAAATTTGTATCAAGCTGTATTAAGGTATGGAATAAGTCAAAAAAACTGTTTCAAAGATAATTCTGAAAATTTGTTCAAGATTTCTATTTGCTATTTACAACGATTACGGAATTTCCGTTTCAGGACAAACCAATTATAATTTGCATTGCATAAAACATTCTGCTGATTCTAAATTCTACAAATAAATACTGGTAAATAAACAAATACCACAAAAATATTCATATTGTATTCTAGTATTTTCACTTACGGTACTGTTTAATTTGAAATGTGAAATTAGCAGCTAAAATATGGCTTAGAAATCCTCAAGCGAATTTTTTTTTATATATAATGCATACATTACTAAAAATAAACTAAAAGCTCTCTGATTTTATAGTACGTTTTTTTCATTTGCACACACATACACGTTTCAACAGCATTTCGGCTAATGTTCCTTTGGGTTAAAAATATTTAAAAATAGGATATCTTTAGAATTCCGGATAGACAGTCTTGCGCACTGGAGATAAAAATGTTTTTCCTGTACTGTTGTTCGCTTTGAAATCATTGAGTTTGTTATTAAAAAATTTATTAAAGTGTTATAAAATATAAAATATGCAATAAAACAAATTCGAAATTCAAAAAGTTTTACAAAATATGAAATACATAATAAAACAAATTCGGGCTTCCAGTTGTCCATGTTCGAGTGGAGGACTATGTTATTCAAAATTTGATGGCTCTAGGTACCGTTTTTTCACAGTACGAAGAACATGCATACGTTCATACAAATTCTTCATTATTTAATTTCTTTAAATATAATACAGGTCGATAATATTTGTTGGCAACAATTTGATAATTGATTCAGACTTTTACAGTGAATTAGGGGAAAATCCCCCTTTGAGACTAATAGCCCTTCTGAGATAACGCTCCTTTGGGATAAAAATGGAAAAAGATTTAAACTGAATTAAATTAATGAATAAAAACGACTTCAGTAAAAAATAAAAATAAGTTTTCAACCGAATTAAATTAGCGAATAAAAACAACTTCAGTTAAAACATTGCAATGAAGTATCGAAATCACATTCTACTCATTTAAAAGCAAACTACGTAAGTATTTTCTTAGTATCCTTAATTAATTTTAAATCTAAAATATCTTGAATAATCTGCATTTAAAACAAACAGACTCATTTTAATATAGCTAGACTGCTGCTTGAGAAAGATACTTCCACTAACACAGGAAGGGTAAAACAATCAAAAATTACTTTGTTCTTGACAGAGCTCCCAAAAATTCATGATTACTGTAGCTTTCAATTCTGCAATAAAGTTTCGACTGTACGAAATCGTGATAACGTAAGAAAGATTACTCGGCACATCGGCTATTCACCGAGTTCAAAATAGTTATAGAATAGGTGAAAACAACGTACAAATAACCTTACTAACGATAAATTAAAATTTTAGTATATTAAATTATCAGCCCCCTTATAAATTTAAATTCACTTCTGAACTGATATTATAACAGAAGAATTGATTAACGTACATCATACTTAAATATAAAAAAGCATTTACGCAATTTTTCAGAATTTATATTAAGACTATTAATTTGTATTCGTAAAAAGTGTCGATGACAATGTTTGCAAGAGTCCCGTGTGACAATACTTTCATATAACAAAGAAAATTTTCTTTTGAAATTACTTCCAATAGTATCTAAAGTGGTAATTTAAATGGTAATTTAAACATGGTAATTTAAAGAGGAAAAAATACGGTCCTGGAGACTAGGCATTATAACAGTTGGTTGTAAATGTAATATTTGTGCAATATACATAGTACCCTTTAACCTGATCTAATAAATGATTTTTAAGAGCTAATGGAATAATTTTCAGGAAATGACTTTCATTAACATAAAAGAACATGTAAGCAATTTACATGCAGTTTTATGTTAATGTAGGATTTTGTTTGTATGCACAGATAAATAGTGCAGCAAATCAATTTAATTAACTGAAAATTATTTAATTGAAAATTTTGATACAGCAATTAAAAAAAACTCGTTAAGAAATTTTCTCAGTTTCTTTTTTACTTTATTGTGTGGGTGATTGTATTTACTAACGCAGTTAGCAAATATAATCTAACACAAAATGCAATAAAAAAAAGGAATTCACTTCGCAGCCAAATTTATTTCATTCTAATTTTTCTATCACATTGCACTTTCAATGTAATTCTTTTGCTTCCTATTTTAAAAATGTTTGCTAATTATGGGCTAATGTTTGCTAATTAATTCGTAATTATAATTTGATTCAAGAAATAAAAAAAAATACACAGCATAAATTTATACAGACGCTGTTTTCATATATTTTAGACGACTTTCCTTTGCTATAAAAAATTGCATGCTTGGAAAAAGTTTTTAATGCAACTATATTTTTGAAGTGTAAATTATCGTCTGCTACTAGACAATTTTACTTTCATGCAAAATTGCGCCTTCTCATTATCCACGATGCCATAAATCAGTAGACTGATGGCAGGAATGGATCAATCTCCGAAAGGAATGTTATAAAATAACCTCTTCCGATACTAAAAAACGCTTTATTATTTTTGAAATCACTGTGTAAAAAGATAGTGAAGAATAAGGGTTATTAAATGGAACATTTTAAACACAAAACATTTAGGTAAAATATTTCTGTAAATACAATGAAAATCGTCTAAAAAATGTGCATACAACCTCTCTATTCTAAAATGCAATCTATTAAAAAAAAAATACATTTTTTTTAGATTGATCTGATATAAATAAACTAAGGATAATCATATCTTTCGATGAACAATGATGCACTTTACAACTATTTTTTCACTCGGAATGAAAGGAAAATCAGTCCTTCAAAAATATACAACGAGTAGAGAGCGCAGACTTAAAAAATCCTCCTGTTTATAACACACCCTGCTTTTATTTTGACTAAACAAAAAATCAGTTTTCTTTATTATTTCCCTTTTCTCTCTTTTCCGTTCTTCATTTAAATTCGCGTTAGTTCATTCTATTTAGAATATTTTCACACTTTAAAACTACAGATTTGTTTCTGTGTTTCTGTAACAGCATAAGAAAAAAATATATTTCTTGCAAATTTTCGCATTCAAAATTTTTTTAAAAAAGCTAAAAGAAAATAAGCTGAAATGATTTGAAATGAAGCTAAAACGAATTTATATCCAGCAGAAATACAGAAATATTCTTATCAAGAACAACTAAGTTTTAATAAACACTACTAATTAATGTATGCAAAAATTTCATTATTTTCTTTTTACAAAATAAATAAAATTTGAGATTAAAATCTACAAAATATAGTTAAAACACTGCTATACCGAAGAATTTATATATATATCACTTATCAATTTTTTTGCTCTTTTTTTATTGCAAAAGTTTGCATATGCTTTCAATTCAATTGCATCATCATTCGTTTTTTATTAAATCACGTAACTTAATCAAAGTAAAGAAAATTTTAAAAAAATATATAAAATAACCAGTGTTCAACTATAAACAAAAAATTTTATTGCAACCGAGTGTTAAAATTACAAAATTTACACGAAATCAATATATATGATTCTATCACATTTTCAGATTTTTAAAAACCTGTGAGTTTAAGCTCTGTTTATTTACATATATACACCTTGGGGTTAATTTAACAGTATCTTTCATTTAAATAAACGAATTTCATTGCAAGACATGTTATATAAATAAAGAGTTAAAACAATTTAGTTTTTTATCAGTATGGAAAGATATCCAAATTTCAATATAAATACAATTCTTTACGGAAGGGTCATAACATTCAAATCAAACACTTAAGTTTCTATTACTTTCTTTTCACTTCAATATGTTACTTGCTGAAATTTAAAAATCTAAAATTATACACAGAGTAACCATAAAAAATATGAAACGAATTAATGAAGAATTATACCGTAAGCAAAGTGTGTTTCACCTGCTCACTTAGAATTTAGAGTTCATTTTACTATGATAACGCAAATAATACTTGAAACATTTACTTTCAATGTAAACGTCAATTTTTAGTCTCGTAACAAAGCAGGTTTTCTAATTAAGATACTCATTTAAAAGGAATTGTATGTCTTACCGATAAAAGATGCCACTCTGCCTCTGTATGAACAATATTTCTTTACAAGTTCAGGTTAAAACCTTGAGTAGTCATAACCATACACAGTTGAAGCTGTCCTGTGGCTGTAACCAGATGATGCACCAACGCCGAAATTCATCTGACAACTTGGATTGACCACTCCGGAAGAAGCGGAGGACACAAGGCGTTGACCATCAAACATATCTCTTACGACAAAGTTCCCATTGGAATCTGCATACAGTGAGCAGTCTGATGAGCTATTCTGCAATGGATAATTCCAAGCGGCATTTGTTGAACTGGAAGTTGCTGTAGCAGTACGATTCATGTAGGCCGCTTGTTGGGGAGATCCGGGCATAGGCAAACCACTATGTCCAGCTGTTACACTGTACTGTCCTGTTTCTTCTATACCAGAAGCCATGCCAATAGTGAGGTTACTGCTGTTGCTGTTATTTGAGCTAGCACGCACTCCTGAACGCGAGACTACACTATTTCGGCCACTTGTATCTCGTTCATATCCGCAACTAGGAGACACAGAACAGTTATAGTTGAGTGTAGATGAAGTTGGAGAAGCAGAACATTGAGGTAATGACAGTGCTGAACAAGTAAAACCTCCTGTTCTTGTACCGTAAGACAAAGTACTGAGTCCATTGGTGCTTGCACAAGATCTAAGACTGGAATTAATTCCAGAACGGGAAGATAAACTACTGTTTATAGCGTCCGACATATGACTCCCAGGGGAGTGAACTCTTGGATCTCTTACAAGTAAGTCAACCGAGAAGCTCGATATGGATGTCCCGTCTACCATTGATGCGTCCACAAACGAAGCAGATGTCACCGGACTGATATTGTTATTTGGAAGTGAAGGGCTGCTTTTCATCCTATCAAACTTGCAATCACCAGCCATCACTATCCTCTGCATACAGGAAGAGTTAAACAGAGAATTATTATGGCGATGGTCCACTAGATCGTCGTCCATAGGTTCAACTTTAGGGGTCAACGTGCATGGTAGGTGCAAGTGGTGGTTGCTGCGTTGTTGCGGAGGAGAAACGGAATGACGATCACTCCGAGTCGATCCGGCGGATGATGCCTCCATGTTGTTGTTAGGGACGGCAGCGGCGGAGTTTGTTTTCATTGCGAGATTACCGCCGGTCTGTTCCGCCTGAACGCTCTCTTTACCCTGTTCCTCTCGCTTGGAAGACTGTTGTTTTTTCAAGAGATTCTCTTCCTTTTCTCGGAGGGCATCTTTCTTTTTGAAGCGTCGTCGCCTCCGCAAGTAGCTGCCGTTGTCGAACATATTCGCACTGTCCGGATCTAACGTCCAATAACTTCCTTTTCCAGGTTTCTTGTCGTCTCGCGGCACTTTGACAAAGCAATCGTTCAAGCTGAGGTTATGTCGTATGGAGTTCTGCCATCCTTGCTTATTCTCTCTATAAAACGGAAATCGGTCGATGATAAACTGATAGATACCGTTTAGAGTTATCTTTTTTTCTGGTGAATTCTGGATTGCCATTGTGATCAGGGCTATATACGAATAAGGTGGCTTCACCATATCCTTCGATGGCTGCGTGGAGGCTTGATGCATGCCTCCTGCGGGAGCATAGGGAGCAGCATAAGGGGATGGTCTCACTACTGCCGTCGCACCGTACCGTTCTACAGCTTGCTGCTGATGCTGAGCTGTCGCATACGCCGGCATGACTCCATTCCCTGCGGCCGCTGCATTCATGCCCATGGTGGGGTATCCGTCGTAACGGTAATAGGCGTGATGCTCTCCGTATAGTGGGTGCATAGCTTCTGGCAGATAAAAAACAAATCCCGCTGCTAGGCACGAAATGAAAGAAAATAAAAAAGTTGCAACTTTTTCTTCCGCTCTGCGCTCTATCCCTTTTTTACAAAAAAAAAAAACTTTCTCTCCCTAGGAAGATCTCCGAGTGCAGAGAGATGAGTTAAACTCAGAGTAAAAACTTTTTCTCTCCGAAAGCCGGCGAAGAAAAGCGAGTTGGCACGAAACCAAAATCGAATTCGACTGCACGCCGCATGTGTGCCCGTTCATGCGTTGCTTTGCTACGCGACTGACGGCTTCTCGTTGATGCTAGCAGAAAACGAGTGTGGGCCTCGGAGAAAAGGAAGTGGTAGCGGCCAGAGGGATGAAGGCTGCCAGGGTGGGGGAGGTTGGAGAGAGAAAGCAGCCGCCGCTCTTCGAGATCATAAAGCCTAAAGGGGAGAAAGGGGTGGGGGTTCCTTGAACCCCTGGCAAAATTGAAAAATCCTGACCGGCTTTTTAGGCCTAGCTCCGGAAAAGCTCTCTACTCGCCGGCTTAGAATTTTACGGTATACCGATGTGTTCATCGCTGCCGTTATTCGCCGACCCCTCCCCCTCAGTCACGGTCGACCAATGAGAACTCACACGGGCGGAGAAGTCGTACGGGGTTTCCTGATGCGAACGCACTTCACACGCTGTCTTCCCCTCTGGCTTCTCCGCGACGAGCCACGAAATTTAATTGACGGTAGAAGAGGATGATGGGGGGCACCTTTTCCTCTATGTTTGGCGACCCCCCGGACTCTCCTCCTCTGTGCTGGATGAGGCAGATAAGGAGGTAGATCCAAGACCGACATTCGAGCCAGTAATTCAATCTGGAAGATTATGGAAGCTCTCTCTTTCACTCACTTGCTCTTTTCTACGGTTTCCGAATTTTGTTTTTTCTTCGCTAGTTTGTGTTGTTTGTTCCGTTTTTATCCGTTTCGTTTACTTTCTTACAGGTGTGTTAAAGAGTGTAGTAGTTACGGATTCAGAATAATCGCACCAGTTTTTTTTTAAATTTTTTTAATCATTATTTCATCTTAAGTTCTTTTCTAAAAATGATTATTACTAATTATTTCAAAATGTAATTATTTACAACCTGCTTGAGTGAGTCTTCGTTCATAGTATACAGTAATTCAGACTTTGACTAAAAAGCCAGTTAATTGTCCTTAAATTTCTGCAAATTAATTAATTTCATCTAATTTTATATTTTATTGTGAGTTTCCACTCTCCAGATCATCATTTGATGGGTAGCAAATTAAAACTATAACACAAAACTATTATAAAACTTTTTACTTGATCTATCATTTTATAATATTTTAGCGGTTAGTTTTGTTGTATTAATAATACAACAAACTACTTACAGTTACAAGTTACAGCACTTATTAATTTAATTGCTCTGAATAATATAGTGGTTAGAGAAATTTGATGACCTGCCAACTGACTGTTAGAATCTGTAATAATGTTTGTATCATAAGGTTGTATACTAATAATATCCTTTATAAGGTTGTCCCTATTAATGCAATATCCCCCCCCCCTCCCTGGAATGTGGAGACTTAAAAGTCTCTCGCACCGAAAATTCTTTCGAATGATTGGTGGAAGAAACAAATGGGGTAAAACATCCTCATAATCTATTCTCATGTGGGTTCTCGGTCAAAACTGGGATTCAGCCTTGGGTAGATAACCCTCTGTGCCAACTTCTCTATTCCAGGTTTTAATTTAAGGCCTCTGCTAGACGTTTGGACAGATTAACAGAATTTTTCCAGACCAAGTTTTTGTTTTTTGGTCGACTGATTTTAATACAAGAAAATATTGAAGAGAAAACAAAATTTTTAAATTTTTATTTAAATATTAAAATTTTGTGTACCATCTCATAAGGTTTTATGATTTACATATATGTCTCAATGCAGACAATGAGAAACACTGATACAAATCCCAGAGTTGCATTTCGTAAGAAGTGGTACTTCTGTATATTGATAGGATATGTGTCATGATATTTAACTTGTTATTGGGTATGAAATGTTTTTTATTCATACATTTTTTAGGAGTTGTAAGACACTGTAATCAGAATAAATTCCATCAGACAAGTAGAAACTGAGTTATACATGGCAATTAAGAACAGTATTTAACATGCTAAATTTGTTGTACTCTGACCAAGATTCGAGCTCCAGATCTTCTAACTGCTAGCCGGATATACTACCGGTTACACCATGAAGGTACACAATAAGGAAGACGAAAACTTCTTAAAACATTATTGTTCAATAAAATTTAAATTAAAGCTTGATTTATGACACACATATTTAGATTCCAGTTCTTTTCGACTTATTAAGGAATTAATCGAAATATCTCCGTTATGGGAAAAGAGAGTTTATTTATTTATTTATTTATTTATTTATTTCATTTTTTCTGACTTCCTCTTCTAAATTGCTATAATTTTATTTCATGAGTTTCTTTAATATCTTAATTTACTCCGATTTGACGAGTGTCTACGGTCAGTTTTCATTATTAATATAAGTTAAATTTTCTCAAATTCGATCTTTGCCATCTTTGTAAGTAAAAACATTTAGATTCTTTGCTTTTCTACTTTCCTTTTCTTGCGATCTGAACCTTAACAGCATTTTCAAAAAACAACGTTAGAATATATTTTGAAAATAATTTTTATCTGCTGAAATTTAGAATAAAACTTAAAGCTCCAAGCCTTAAAGAATTTGAAACTTAACCTGAATTTAAACTTGTAATTATAAGATTACCTTGTGACGGTAAACTTTGAGCGCCTCATTAAGTAAATTCCGAAGCTATTATTTATTAGTTGTGCAGATCTGTTAAGAAGAAAAGGCAGGATTTATCAAAACTTTTGCACTAACGGATTTTAGAGGAAACCATTGTAAACAGTAGCTAAAAGGAAACTGACGACTATAACTGACGACTGTTATTTCAAATTCTTTTATCATTGGTAAAACATAATTATGTAAATAAGGATACAGGCATTAAGTTTATTCATAAGCAAACCTGACTCTACTTGGAATGCAAATGACGAATATAGTACTAACCCTATGTCTCCTTCCTGTTCATAGTTTGTAGAAATCGCCCTCTCCCTTTCACCAGACAAACTACAATCATCTTATCTTATCTGCACAATCACTGGCAATTCCCGGCTGTGATGATGAACTACTTGATTATCACAAATACCAGAAAATTAGAGAGAACTGTCTCTAAGACGATCATCTACAGTTCCAGATGATTTTGATGTATGTGATAGCACTTTTTTTTTTTTTTTTTTTTTTTTTTACCAGAGCTATATTAAGCTTTTTTGAAATTATCTCTGAAATAATTTCACAATTTAAAAATTTTCACAGGTGGTTGGTAAGAAGTCACCATCAGAGAGGATGTTTTGAGGATAAATTTTATAATCGCACTCGTTTATAGTTATGAAATACAGCCATAGATAAAATTACTGGAACTCAATCATAATTTTCATTCTACTTACTGATGGGCCTCAAATAAGGGAAACAAACTCAGCATCATTAATTGAATGTCATATAATTCTTTGCCCATGATCAGTGGTGTAGCTAGGGTGGGACAAGGGGGGACTTATGTCCCTGGGCGCAGCATCCAGGCGGCGCCAATTTGATGCTACGGAATTTTTTAATTAAATGTTTTCCATTCTTGGCACACAGAAAGGGGCGCAAAATCTGCAGTTGTCTCCGGGCGCTGGAATCCTAGCTACGCCACTGCCCATGATTTTAATTTTTTTTTTATATCAAATGAAATTTTTGTATGCAAATATATCTATAAATTTATGTTTTGTCATTCAGAAACACTCTGAACAAAACTCTACTGTATACTTGCCATAGAGTCATTAATGCATTTTGTAAGCACCGTTTATTTTACTCTTTCAGATTGCTAATAAATGAAGTGATTTTAGAGGTTAACACATGTAGTATTGCTAATCATCTAAGGTAGAAACTTTATTATCAGTATCTATTTTTAAGTGTTAATTATTATTATCCGCCAGCTGCTCAGAAAAAAAGATTAATATAAAAGATACATCGATAGAAAAAGAAAAATAAGAAAAAAAAAAATGTTTTCAGATTTTATTTCACGCCCAAAGGCGTTGTTTTAACCTTTTGTGTATTACCTTTATGTATTAAATATCATATTCTTCGCATTTAAACCATAAAATTCAATTCAACAGGAATATCCCAAAATATTTAAAAGAGCGTATCTTTAGAACTGTTGCCATTGCTCGCTTTGAAATCCTTGAGTTTCTTATAAATGCTTTACAGAATATGAAATAGATAATAAAACAAATTCCAAATACTAAATTTGGGCTTCCAGATGCCCATTTTCAATGGAGGATTACGTTATTCAAAATTTGATGGCTCTAGGTACCGTTGTTTTATCACAATGCGCGAAATATGCATACATTTATGCAGATTCTTCATTATTTAATTTCTTTAAATATAATACAGGGCTCTAATAGTTGCTGGCAACATTTTGAAAAGTCATTCACCGTATATAGTGAATCAACGCAAAATGCAAAACGAAATTAACAGCCCTTCCGGGCAAATTGCTCCTTAGGGCTAAAAATGTCTGAAATTTTCAGATTTTATATTACGCCACAAAGGGTGTTTTTTACCCCTTTTACACAGAGATACACGTTTTGAGAGCATTTGAGCTAAAGGCCCTTTGGGATAAAAATATTTAAAAACAGTTTATCTTTAGAATTTCCGATAGACAGTCTAGAGCGCTGAAGATAAAAATGTTTTTTTTTTTTTTTTTTTTTTTCGTACAGTATTGAAATTGCTTGCTTTGAAATCGTTTACACTGTAGAGATATTAGGTTATTTTGAAGCAGGAGATGTGAAAAATGAGCAATACTCTCGCCGGGACTCGAACTACGGACCTCTCGAATACGCGCGGAGTTTGCTGACCACTATGGCTAAGAAGGCAGGAAAAATACCTTATATACTAAACTTTTTAAAGGGCGACTGGGGATTAGGGGACCCAATCGCTAAATCCTGGTGGTGGAGAATCATCATCCACCACCTCTTTAGTTCGGGCGTCACTGTAGAGACTATTAGGTTATTTTGAAGCAGGAGATGAGAAAAATGAACAATATCATCGCTAGGACTCGAACCACGGACCTTTCGAATACACGTCAAGTGTGCTGACTACTACACCACGAAGACATGCTAAGAAGGCGGTAGAAATATCTTAAAACTTTTTTAATCAAAAGTTCTCTAAAGTTTTACTAAATAAGAAATAGACAGTAAAAGAAATTCGAAATTCCACATTCGAGCTTCCATGTGTCCATACTCGGATAGAGGACTACTTTATTCAAAATTTGATGGCTCTAGGTACCCTTGTTTTTTCACAATGCGAGAAACATACACATTTCATTATTCATGTAGATTCTTCATTATTTAATTTCCTTAAATGTAACACGGGGCGATAATAATTGGTGGCGACATTCTGAAAAGTGAAATGGAACATTTATAGTGAACGGCCGTTAAATGCCATTTCAATACCAATAGCCTTTCTTTCAATTCAACGCCTCTTTGGGCTGAAAATTTAATTAAA